CGCTCCGCCGCTCCCCTGCTCCGCTCCGCCGCTCCCCTGCTCCGCTCTGTTCCTCCGCGCCGCGGGGGCCCGACCGCTCCTCTGTGCGGCGGCGGCGGCGGCTCGCTCAGCGTCGGGGGCCGGGCCGGTGCTCTGCCCGCCGGCTGGGTCGGGGCAGCGCGGGGCCCCCGGCCCAGCCTCCAGCGGCCGCCTGTAAGGGCAGCCCCGGGTCGGCGGCGGGCGCGGGGGCAGCGCTGCCCGGGGTTCGGGGGTGGGGCCTGCGACCCCCTCCCAGGAGGTCTCCTCACCGGACCCCACCACGCCAGCCCGGGCCTTGTCCCCGGTGCCGGGAAGCGCCGCCGTGGCAGGCTGCGTGGTCGGAGACCTCGCGCTGTTCCCGTTGGTTCGAGGATCAATAACTTGCGAGATAGCGGTGATGCCCTGAGCTGCGGCGGAGGCCCCGCCGATAGCCAAGGACAAAGGATTGTTCAGAGCTCACCTAGATGGGCTTGACCCAACTGCTGCATCAGCTTTGCTCCGACCCGGGGCTCGCAGCCCCCTTTGCAGAGCAGCCCTTCTGCATCCAAACCTAAAAGATCCAGAGTGTTAATTCCAGCTTTTATAAGCTATGCCATTAGTGGGTTTTAACTGGTTTAGTTGCTAATGAGAAATAAAAGCTCTTTTTCAGAGAAGCAGTAACTTTTCACACTAGACAAAACTTTTACAGAAAAGTAATGCAAAATCCAAGGTCTTGAAAGAGCAATGCTAAAGTCGCAGCCCCTTTGCAGCATCGTTTAGGGTTCTAAATAGATTCTAAATTAGCCATTGCCAAACAACTGTCTCCATTTCCCTCTCGCAGCTAATTTACATATTGGATTATTTCAAAATACAGATAATCTCCTGATTTTTGAACACTTACTACTGTTGATAGCCAGGCTCTGCCCTCTCCACCACACTGTCTCAGTGAATGGTTTTTGACCCTGAACCCAAGTCTGCTCGAGCTACCCTCAGCTCAGTCTCAAAAATGTCACACACTTTCCAAATATTTCAAAGGGTTTTGTCCCAACTTCAACACGTCAAATAACTGGCTGCTCACACAAACAGCAGCATTTCATCTATTCTCCACTGCAATATAGGACTTAGAACACGCTTTTGAACCTGAAGAGGCTGGGTATTGTGTAAGTCATAAAGCTAAAGCCTCATTTGAGACTGAGAGGAAAATGGGAGCTTTTTAAACTGCAGCCACATGGTGTGAATCTTATACAAGAAATAATTCCCTGCAGCATCACTTCACTTCCAGGCTGGGAGAGGACACATGGTGAATCTTTTGAGCCTCCAGAATTTCCCAGAGATAGACTGAGACAAGAGTAGCTACAATACGTTTTCTTCGAAAGTCTGAAGATGCCTCTCAGTTTATTTTCTTCCCAAACAATGTGGGTGTTGTTTTGTGGGTGGGAATGTGTTCGATGTGATACAGTGTACAAGGAAAGAGGTTGGCTCCTTTATATCTCCAGCTGAGGAATAAATTCTGCCCTTGGGGTAGAGATACTCCAGGGAACCTTGCAGAGCTTTGCAGCAGAGTGCAGGCTGGTCTGGGATCTGTGACCACCCCAAGACAGCTCCTGCTGCTCTGCAGTCCCTTGTCAGGAGAAGGGAACTCACGGGCCACAGGCAGAGGCCAGATTCCTCCTAGCCCAGGAAAAACATTTGCTGTAAAGTCATTGTTCTCCCATGCCAGGGCTTCACAGATGTCAGCTATTTTTCAGAACCATTAATTCTATGCAGAAAAAGGAAGTGCCTGGTGTCTTTCCTTAGGTTGACTGGGAAAATCAGAGAAAATTTTGGGGTGTGGACTAGTCTGATCCTCCAGATACTCTTTTGCCCCATAAGAGCTATAGCTCATTCTTTCATGCTTTACAAGGTCAAAAACAGTATCGTATTTAATATCCTGTGTTGAATGCACTTAGAAAAATAACACAACTACTCTTTTTTTGAGATTTTTTCATTTTTGTTCAGGCGGGTGCACAGAGAGAATTCATGCGCAGGCCAAGAGCCAGTATGTATGTGCATCAGTAAGACAGGCAGATCTACAAATAAAGATCTACAAATAGAGGCAGATCTACAAATAAAGAAGCCTTTGAAACAAGTCTGCTGTTTTGCTTAATGCTAGGGAAATAAACCATAGCCGCGTTGGCAAGGTTGGCAGAGTCACAGCAGTGTGTTGGTGATGCTTAGTCTATAGACCCCCGTGTTGAAGTAATCAGAGCTGTACATCAGTGGAGCTCAGGCACATTTGTACCCACTTGGTACTGGCTGAGGCAGGTCCTTGGGAGAAAATCTGAACTTCACACACAGCTTTTAGTGAGTTTCTTCCTTTAATCCAGTTATTTTACTTTCGCAAGATTGATTTCAGTTTTCAAACTGAGCTCATCTCAGCAGTCCTACCTCTAATTTTGTTTCCTATTATGTGTGACTCTCAGAAGTTGCTCACAGCTTAAACTTTTCCCCAGCAGCCTGAGCCAAAGTTACGATGCAGCTGAGTCTTTGGTCCTTGGGACTGCAGGGGGTGTGGGTGGGGTGGGTCACAGACCCCTACAAGGAGAATTAAACCTCATTCCTTAGAATCCCAAGTGAATACCTCACCATATCGACCAGACTGTTGATTGCTCTAAGGTGGTAAAGTGCATGTCCTGGATGTCTGATCTCAAAGGGCTCAGGTTTTTTTTCTCTTGTTGCAGAAGAAAGTCTGAAAACTTCATATTTTCACAGTGTGGGAAACAGTTTCCTTTCTTGGTGTAGCTGGAAGACCATCAAAGGCAAAATGGATGTTTTCCTTCCCAAGAGTATTGGCTGTCCAGGCTGTCCTGGAGTGAGCCCAGGATCTGTGGTCTGAGCCCTGCTCTGGTCTGATCTATCTCAAGTTCAAATACGTTGAGGTGATGTTGCTTTTCCTACTGTGACTTCCCTGTGAAGTGGAATAATAGTAACTATTTAACTTTCCCAGACATGCTGGAGAAGTGTTTTTACTTGTTTGAGCTGGCAGGAGGAGTGGCAATCAGTAATAAAGGGCTCTGCAGGACTGTGCATAGGCACAAACTACTCTGGTTCTGGTTAAAGACTGCTGAGTTGTTATACTGAGAACCAGCACTGCTTGCACAAGTGAGAGACGCACAGCACCACTCACACAAGTCAAGACAAAAACTCTGAGACTGGAATTGTTTTGCTGCCCTAATTGAAGTTCTCCAAGAGCTGAAATCTATCCTGGTCACATTGTCCAGCAAATGGGAGGGACAGTAGACCAAGCAATTGCAGTGAGTTCAGCATGGAAGCCGTCACCTGAATACATCCTCCTCACAAGATGGGAAATGACATTAAAATGGCTGTGGCCTGGATAGTGTTCAAGTAAAAATACCTCCTTCCTTACCAGCAGCGTGGTTCCCTGTGGATGCACCTCAGTCAGATCCATTGCTTATGTGAACAGAGAGAATTCTTTTTCTCTCTGTAGATCTTGCCAAGCCCAGACTAGAGAGGAGGGGAGGCAGATGTCATTCTGAGAACTACTCTGAGTACTTCAAAACTGCTTTTGCTCACTGTCAAACTATGCTCAGAACACTAACACATGGGATCATCCTAATTTTCATCCTAATTTTGCCCATTGCTAATTTACATCTATTTCGTCTGCATTCAGTGGCTCTTTCTTTGGCATTTACCCTTGTGATTAACCAATCAACTCTTCTGAGGCAACAAAATGTACTGGCTTCTTGTGACAGAAATTTACTTTGGTCGAGGAAGGCAAACGCATCATGTGAGGTTCCTCCTTTTGGTTCAGGAATTTTCTCTGCTCTTTGGTATTTTATGTCACCTTACTTTGTCATTGAAAACTGAATTAAAGACATGGACATTTCAAAAAAGGAAGAAACTCACAGCACTTATTTTTCCTAGATGAATCATTTTCCTCTGAATTCCACATTTTTGTCACATTCCAAAACTCACAGTTAGACACTGGCATATGGAGAATTCTTCAGGCACCACTTCTCTACAGAAGGTATATCTTGGCTTTAAAGCTTTATTCTCAGTCTTGCAAAGGACCATAGCCCAGAGCCCAGTCAATACTTCCTTCTCCTGAGGCTGCTCTCTTTCCCTTCTCTTTATCAAGTAGAGAAATGCTCAGAAATTGGTACAGTATCAAAATACAAAACTTGCCTTATAATTGCTGAGATAACTGGTACCAAAGCCTGAAACTGCTTGACAACTGCCTTCCCAAAGAGTTCCTTGAACCTGTTTCAAACTTCAGTGCAGAAGATGGCTGAGAAAGACAGCCATCTCCCAAAAAGTTGTGTGTGCTCACTGAAGCTCCGTGAGGTCACAGGTCTTATTTATACATTAAAAAAAATATCATTTCGTTACAGATGGACATTCATTTTCTTCCACAGGAGAGAGGAATTCTGTCAGCACTGTTCTTCCACTGACTTAGTGAGACATTTTTCTGGACAGTGCATGGTTCTGACATCAGAGCTGGAGGCAGCCCACCAGAGGGCACTGGGGCAAGAGGGACACTGGAGCACATTGCGCGAGGAGAGGCTGAAGGACCTGGCATGTTCATTTTGGAAAAGATAAGGGACAGGGGGATCTAACTGCAGTGTTCAGTTAACTATAGGGTTATAGAAGATGAAGCCAGGTTCTTCTCAGCTGTGCACAGTGGAAGGACAACAGGCAAAAGTCACAGCAAGGGAAATTCCAACTAGACTCTAAGGAGTGTGGCAGCTCCTGCCCATCACACTATCCCACTGGAAATTTTCCAGTTGTCATAAAGGAGTGAAGCAATCAAAGATGTGAATTCCTTACAGCTCTGGGAAGTGTCAGGAGTGGGGCAGGGAAACAGAATGGTGCAGACCAACTGA